TCTGGTTCCCTGACTCCATATAAGAAGAAACAGAGCAGTTTACATACATTGGGGAATTGTAAGGTCAGGGAACCAGTCTAGCTGGCTCGTACCCGTTCATAGGTTTGTAATCGATTGCAAACAAGTGCAATAGTCAATTGGGGCCAGTATTTGAAAAAAAGCCAGTTGTTTCCAACGCTGATCGGCCGATCAGCGTAGGAAATTGATACAAAAATACCACTTTTCTTGAAAATGACAGTATACCAGGTGCCACAATTTTACAGGATGATTTAGACTGTCATTTACCAACGTCCTATTAAGGTATTTCGCAAAAACTTGGTAGTTTTATTTTTCGATGTTTGCAAATGTTGTATATTCCCTTTAATACCAAAGGCTTGACTGAAATCATCTTTGCGTATTTTGTTCTGTCCCCGCCCATGTTTCTATCAGAAACTGCCTTTATAATACAAATTTGGGTGATATACCAATTACTTGATAACATTTACGTTAAGCACACAAGAATAAAAACAGCGAAATCTTACGGGACAAAAAGCTATTTTTACGTCAGAATGTTGCTGCAACTTCCCGTGCTCTTAACTGACATAGAGAATTGTTTGTCTAGCACCAAACTCCTAAGAGCACGCGGGGGAGTCAAGGGGTGTGAATCTTTTTTAATTCCTTATTTTAGCTTCGGGATAGCAGCTCAATAAATCATCATGTCTCTCCACCGGTAACAAACGCTGACATTGTCTGTTGCTCCTAATGTGCATACCATAATTTCAGAACATTAGACGCCGTCACGCGTTTAAACAATGCCCTTTGCTAGTATCTGATTAGCTCCTTAAGGGTTGAAGCGTAAAGAGGTTGCCAACACCCCTCCCCCGCCCCCACCCTTCAAAATCAACGATCCGCCCGCCCACATAGGGATAGCAAATTCGGTCCTATGGGATCCAAATAGAGATACAGGTTGAGTAAAAAAAAAAACGAAACCCAAATGTTGGGACCGTTGTTTTAGTGAAGTTCTGCATGTAGCATTTTCAAAAACTAGGACATGAAAGCCCAATTCATACGCTTTCTGTTAGTACAAGAATCATTCAAATCACTCAAGACATGCAGTTTTCAAGTTACGGAATTTTAAACACAACCACCGTTTAAAATTTCTGTCCACGGATCACAAAAAAGAAAGTGTTTTTTTCAGCAAAACGAAAAGAATTCACATCCTTATGTGTGTGAATTGTTTTCGTTTTGCTGAAAGAACACACACCTTTTTTGTGATCCGTGGACAGAATTGGGCTTTCATATCCTACATTTTGAAAGTGCTACATGCAGAAATTCACTAAAACAATAGTCCCGATTTTTGGGGTTTCGAGTGTTTTTAATCACCCTGCATATAACATCTTGACTTGCAAGTCAGAATACCCCTTTCTGCATGACTGGCCTTCAAAACTTACTCCCGAGGGTAGGCTGCGTGTAGTAGCAATAGACCCTTTTATTTCAGACAGGCCAACTTCATGCCTTGAATGCCATTGAAAGAGCGTATTTCTGACATCATTCTGATGTATGTTGTATAAACAGAGTCCCGGGTCGGAATCGGACCCTGAATCCGGGTCACATTTGACCTGACACTCTTCCGGGTCATATGACCCATTTTTTGTGTAGGAAAAAACACTTTTCTTGGTCAAAATGATGCTTTTTCGTGTCAAATGCATGGCCCGGAAAGTTATTCAGATGAGTGTCATTTTGACCAGGCAAAGTGTCAGGTCGAATCCGACCCAGTTCCGGGGGCGAATCTGACCCGGAACATTTCAGAGTGAAGATTCTTGTATTCCACTCACTGGTATCCTGCTTAATTAACCCTCAAGGGAAGCGATGGGCACCGGCGACTCTTTATTTTGGCCACAGACACTCTTTTCAAATCACTTTGAGCGTTTATACAATGCTTTTGAATTGGATTCTCGCATCGTCATATGTAATCCATCTACTTTCCCCCTTTTTTCTTGTTATTATTCTTTGTTTTATCCAATTCATTCCAAAAAGCACGAGACAAGCCTACTATAGCTGGTCCCAGAGCGCGCAAAATTCTATTCAATTGATTTCAAAATGACTATTCGCTCGAAGTCTTTTCCTGCATGTGGTCTACACACTGGGCTGGATTGAGCCCGTTCATTGACGTTACGGGGTAATCCTATATGATAGCACTGCCCGGCTCACAAATGACAGTCAGCGAGTCAGTCAGTCAATGAGTCAGTCAGTGGGCAAAAAATGCCTTCAGGCAACCCCCGATATACGCCCTTTGCATTCCAGTATAAAGGTCATATGGTGATGGTTTGTGCCTTTGATGATACGAGCATGGCATTTGGCACACAGTCAGAGTATGTCATGAGAAAGATTTTTGGCTAAAGGGCCATCACAGATTTGTCCTTTGAAAAAATATTGGTAGAATAACAAGCAATGGCAGCCTCTGTAAAAATGTTGAAAATTGCTTGTTATTCTACCTATATTTTTTCAAAGGGCAAATCTGCGATGGCCCTATAGCCAAATATCTTCACCATGACATTCCCCGACTGTGTGCCAAATGCCATGCTTGTATCATCAAAGGCACAATTCCCCAAATGTTTCCCCTATCTGCCCCACTATAATGCCTACGTGATAATGATGAAAATAAATGTAATCAATCGCGTCAGTAACGTATGTTGTCATCCTGATGCAATCAGTTCAATATTTTGATGAAATGCTCCCCTGCCCCCCCCCCCCCCCCCCCAGCCCTAACTCAGATTTAACCAAACTTCTTACCGGTACACTGCTACGAAAAGGCCTGCATAGCCGATTTTGTCAAAAAAAATTCACACAATCTGTGTTACTTTATTATCGTGCGTGCAAAAGAAAATAACTTCCGCACAATTGTACTTTATTTCGGAGATATCTAAAAAAAAAAAAAAAAAAAAATTAAAAAAAATATAAAAAAATAAAAGATACCAACAAAGAATTCCACGATGTCTTTTCATAATTTTATTCTGTTATACATTTCAGCCTTTTGTCACATAAACAAATTGGCACAAAGAACTACCGGTGCCCCATTGAAATAAAACAGGATTGTGCAACGTTTAAAAAAACAATCACAATTTTGAACAACCTTCACAAAGGATATCGGTTTTTGACAGATAAAGTATTTCAGTTGATGAATGTACATATTCACAATGTCATTGCAACATATGGGACGTGATGCAACAAGGCTCCATGACATCCTAGAGACCAATCCCGGCACGCTGTCACACGAATGACACACGAATGTGAGAATTGCCCATAAAAAAACCCACACATAACCCTCTTTTTTTCAAATCAGTTTTCCAATAGATAGACCTAAAAGCTGAACACATATCACAAAACCGTTGAAATACAAAAGCGCTGCACGGACAAAACATTTATTGTTAAAGATATTTTAACTTTTGTGATAAAAAAAAAACTATTTTGTGTAATTGCTCGTTGACATAACGATACAAACAACTTCTAGACCGACTCATTAACTTAACATTGAATACAAAAATCTCATAACTGTGACAGTTTTTAACAAATTTTAAAAATTTCTAACCTTAATAGTATTTGGCTTTTGAGTTATTTCTAGGTTACTAAATATCAGTTTCTAAAACAGAAATCGAATCTCATCTTCATAAATATCAACCATTTACATGTATGATAATAAATTATGTACATGCAGTTTTATATTTTACATCAAACATCTGAAAAGAGGTGTGCCGCCCCCTAGCGTCACCTATCAAGCGAGACTTACAATAGACTGGAACCCATCCTTAAGCGTGAAACAATGTACATGTACAGTAGTCAGAGTTGTAATGACTCGAGTCCATGACTCGACTCGAGTCCCAACAAGTAACTGACTCGACTCGACTCGAGTCCCTCATCAGAGGACTCGACTCGACTCGAGCGAAGGCGAATAAGAGTACCAAAAATAAAAGCAAAACTTTGCGAAATGTTCACGTCACTTTGCGAATGCAGTACGGTAAAGCGGCCGCTTGTTATGTACAAACATACAACGTGTCCCACAAACTCCCTTCTTGTGGTTCTGGAACGCACAAAATACGATTCCGGAACCAGACTTTAAACACATTTTCCAAATCGTGGTCTACTCATTGGCTTTGGGCGATTCCTTATTAAGCTTTTGGGTTTGAACGCCGGCTACTTTTATGCCCTCCTTATAAAATGAAATAGATACATGCCCACTTTTAGATAACCAGAAACAATTTTGTATAATGCAATTTGGTTTTGATGTTGTCAGCAATCAGCAAAAACAAATCAAGACCCGAAGCCGAACCAGATAGCCCATTATAAGTCCGAGGTTTCTCTTCTTATTAACTGTTACTTGTTAGTGATAAATGAATTTTCTTTATTTGTTATAAAGTGTTAAAAAATTCGTGACGAATTGACTCGAGCTAAATATTTGACTTGACTCGACTGGACTCGACCTTCTTGACCTAATGACTCGACTCGAGTCACTTCTTTAAAATGGCTCGACTCGACTCGAGTCACAAAAATCAGTGACTTGTTACAACTCTGACAGTGGTGTTGTAAGACATATTAATTGAAGTCGATAGGAACCGCCAAAGACAGTGAAATTTGCTTAGATATGAATACTTAATCTATTAATCTAATGACCATCAACATAACAGGTGCAACCAATCAACCATTTTCTTTTTCAATAAAAAATAGGGCCTATATACATGTGGGGAGTGTGGCCTAGTGGTTATGGTTCTTGACTAATGATCAGAGGGTCAGGGGTTCGAATCCAGCTGCTGGCCATTATGTTACGTTCTCGGGCAAGCCACTTCACCCCCCACTTGCCTCTCTCCACCCAGGAGTATAAAGTGGTACCGGCGTTAGCTGGGGAGTAACCTGCGATGGACTAGCATCCCATCCAGGGGGAGTAGAAATATTCTCAGTCGTTTCGTGCCTCTGAAACCGGAGATAAACACCGGCCTGATGGGCCACATTGGCTCGTGACAGACTTTACTTACTATTCGGTCAAAATGTCCAGAATTGTAGCCAAGCACAAGAATTGAAGTTCCCGTAATTTGAACCGTTGATGACTTTCCATTTTCTATAGACAGTGACGCGAGACGAAATCGCATACATCTATAACAACTCCGTGTTGAGCTTCAAGTATAATTACTGCTAACGACAAAACCAGATATGATCGTACCAAATAACATTTGATTTGAATCATAACTAATTTGGCTCTAAACGATTAATGTATATATTGTGCATAAAAATGAAATGAAGAGCCTGGCGTATTTGGTTTAATAATACCGTTGCCAAGACAACTTCATAATAATCTAGATGTTGAACTACGTATGTACACGGTGTGTAAGTTTTATTGCACTCTTTAAGTCTTGAAAGTTCATCTGATCTGTCTATCTAATGTGTTCTTTTGATTTAACGAGATGCTTAAAAACATTAATAATCTAAATACCTGATCAACATTAAAAATGGTTTTACCATGAAGGGCTTGTTGTACATCTGTACAGTCACTGGTCTGTTTGTTGGTTCATACATCTGTGTTTCTGTTTGACCCCTTTAGTGGAATCCACAGAGTGCATACGCTCGTGGTGCGAATGCTGCTGATCATCAGATGATGGTGTAACACTTGTACACTTTTTAAAAATAAATTTAATTGATTATCGACATCTAAGATCAGAGGCGAGTCTTGGGTATCAAGGTTGTCCGTTGAGCGTTGCGTACTGGCAAGCTGAAAGGGTGTGGTTCTGTACAGGGTACGTGAAGCCTCCAACACTACCGGAATGTTGCTTGGCCTTTAGACACAGCGAGGCTAAACTGCCCGACCCGGGCTCGGCTCGGTAGACGTACGGGGAGGAACCGTGCGGGCAGCCCGCTGTCCCTGCCGCAGCGGCCGCCGCCGCACCCGCCTGGTGCCCCAACGGACCCAGATTCTGATGAGGCGTCACGCCGCCCATGGGAGCCGAGGAGAAACTCGGACTGACCGCCGACTGGGGCGAGTTAAAACACATCGGCTGAGAGGTGACCGAGCCCAGAGAGTTGAGAGACCACGGGAAGCTCTTGGCTGCGGCTGCCGACTTGGCTGCCCAGTTGTTGTAGGAGTAGCCGGAGTACAAGCCGTCGTCAAACGGCTGCATCAGACCGTTGAACTGTGAGCCGAAGCCGTTCTTCAGTTCGTTCAGCTGGTTCCGTTCCCGCTTCCTCCACTTGGCTCGACGGTTCTTGAACCAAATCTGCGAAAAGAAAACCCAGAAATTAATCTAATCCCTCACTCACCGAGATTAATATCAATGGACTCCGTGCACAGGTACCCCCTCAACGGTGAGCAAGATGGAGAGAAGTGAAGGACAAGTTTTGTGCGTCATTGTCACATTGGCACGGCCCCATTCTCGATGCATGTGCCCCTAGTACCACCCCACCCCACTCAAGAGGAGGGGTGTCCAAAAAAATTAGCTTTTTATTGCTGAAACCGTTTTAGGTCACCCCTCCTAATAACGAGGCCCAAAGTTCCCCCTGCAAATTTGATCTCGGTTACGCCTCTGTCACTGTATGTTCAATCATTGTTCATATAGTGGGTAACAATGCCAGTACCCACATGCACATGTCCTTCACAATTAACTTGGCTCCATTTGCTAGCAGAAATAAACAAAAACTAGAGTCAAAACTTAAACAGACCCACAGATTCTAAATTTTACTGGGCTTCCATATTGAGAAATGACATCCCACATCAGTAGAGCATTTGAATCGTGTTATCCTCGCGAGCTTCCAAGAAACAATGCTCTTATGTAGAATTTGATGACGGTAAAGTTTTGTTATTAAATTTATGAATGGTTTTTAAAGTTGTGTGTTCAACTTCTCCTGCGCACGTCAATGTGACATTTCAGTGTCAAATTTATCCCACAGATTTCATTATGCTGGTAAAATCAACAAGATCATCATTGTCATCATCAGCATAAAGTACAGTACCCTGTCTCCCCATCTGTAAAACCCATCAGCCACGCGCTGTCTGCTGTCCAGATATAGTCTGCGTCATCATTTGCACTTTTTTAATCGTGGTTTCGAAAATGTATTGCTACAATGCGCGCCTCTGTGTTGCGCATTCATGTCCTCCCTGTGTAGCGCATTAATGTCAGAGAATGTCATTAAGTGACATGACGAGTTGGTACGTCTGTCAGAAAATGTCAACATTTCAAACATTCGGTGGGAATGTTTGACCAAAGTGCATTTTGCGTGTTTTTGGAGGTGTTGACATTGAGTTCGGCAAGTCCCAGGCTCAAATCTGTTTAATCTTAGATTAAGAAACTGTTTACAGTTCAGCCAACCGGATATTTTTCTTCAGAGAATTTCATCTTTAACCCTAAAAAGGCCGGGTTATTTTGACCATCTCTCAGCCGGGGGGGGGGCGGGCTCCCCCCCCCCCAAGATCTCGGCCATCGAGTAACGAAAAATTTTGAAACTCGGTACATGCATAGAGCAACTCCTCATAAACATACCCAGGAAATTTCATGACTATAGGTAAAAGGGTTTTGGAATTATGGCTAATTAATTATTCATATGTACGAATGGCAATTCTGCTCTGTATACACGACGTATACGGGGAAAATTCCGTTTTCACGGCGCGTAGCGGCGGAATTTTTTTTTATGTTTTTGGTATCAAAAGATGCGCAAGGCTCGAGGCTAAAACGTCATAAAAGCTCAGGTTGCGAAAAAAAAAATTCAAGGTTATCGCGGAAAAAGTTGAGGGGGCGGATTCCGCCCCCCCCCCCCCGGCCCTAATCCCCCCGCTGATATAATCTGCGAATATTTGTTGGTTGCCCTTTTCTATTTTAATTCTATGCACAAAATGAGGAAAACATACAAGTACTGAGCAACGTACAGTGAACCTCTCAAAACACACAAGCACATATATTATTTTGGTTCCATCGAATAGTTCAATGCATAATGACTTTTTCATATGGCAACATGTTCTCTCAATTTGTGAAGTCATAACGGATATTATTATTCAACTTGTCTAATGAGTTGAACAAGTCCACCTCCTGAAATCTTATCATTGCGATTCAAACGATTTTATGAACGGGCTCTCATCTCTCATTGTATGGCAATATGGAAATAATGTTCTGTTGAATTGAATTGAAAATATATCCTTCCGATAGCGTACATAGGTATATCTAATTTAACTGGTCAAATTGCTTAGGTGAACCCAAAAAGTGCATCTATCCAAATGTTTACATTAAATGTTGTTTTTTTTTTGGAAATTCACGGTTCGTTCATGTCGTAGATCATGCATTTTCTCTTAAATCAACGCCGTGGTAAGTTTGATCATTTTTTTTTCAAGGAAAGCCATCATTGCATAGACCCAGACACAAACTTCATTATAGACTTTAATTTGATTCATCTTAAATACACTCAACCAAAAAAGAAAGTCATCCCTTAATACTCTTTTGTCTAACTCCAAAACTACTGAGCACATCTTGCTCAAATTACGACTGATGCCTTAGCAATCCAGCCATACACTTTGTTTGGCTCAGAACAGTGATAATGTGTACAAAATTATGCTATTTATGACAAATGGTACAGAAAAAAGTTGCACTTTTGTATACGAGCAAGGTGAGTGTGAACCACAACTTGCACGTATACAAAAGTGCAACTGTTTTCGGTATCAGTTGTCATAGATTGCATAAATTCGGACACATTATCACTGTTTGGGGCCAAATAAAGAGTATGGCTGGATTGCTAAGGAATTTCTGTACTGATTAGTTGTTATTTGAGTGAGAGGTGCTCAGTAGTTTTTGAGTTAGACAAAAAAAGTATTGGAAGGGGTGACTTTCTTTTTTGGTTGAGTTATATACCCAAAACAATATGCATTTTTCCATTGCAAATGTCAAATTCAATCTTGTTCGGTTTCGTTTTGTTGAGTATGGCATTTTAAGCTTTTTCAAAGAGAGAAAGTTCAAGAAAAATTTCCGGGTCATAAATTAAAAGGCCGAAACCTTATAGATAATTCTTGGTGAAAATCTAGTTTTAGATGTGATTCGTTTGCTGCCTGCCACTTTAAAATTTCTTGTTTCCTGAGTTAAACTTTTACAGTTCAACACAGTCGTCTGGTTTCCAACTCTGTAAGTCCATTTTTTCGGCTGTCTAGCTTGTAGATAAAGTTGCTACATTTCACTGGAAGACGTATTCAACTTTTGACAATCACGCCACCGCTACCATAACATTCCGATTGCCCTATAATTCCCTACCCAAACGATACCAATTATGTCGTCCAGCAAGTAATGGTTATAATCTGGCGGAGCCTTTGAGTCCGAAAATTGACGAAAGAGGCTTTTGATTTCCCCATGGTTTTAGAGTTTATTGAGATGCCACAGTGTATCTATTCACTACTTCTAAGCGTCTTAACCTATTTTTTTGGTGGTGTTATTTTTCTCCGATTTTGTGGGTCGAGTCAAGGTTGAGGTGTCACTTCACAGTAAACCGTAAAGTGATGACATCTCATGGACACGTCTACCACACACCATGTGAAACAATCTTCTTCTTTTAACGGTGAATTCCATCCCGCGGATGTTGTTATGGATTTACCAGCCGTCTGCACTTCCACTTCTCCGCGCGACCCGACCGCCTCACCCTCCCGAGGATTAATCCGCCGGTTGAAAGACGAATGACGCATTCTGATTGGAGCAGACCCGCGCGCCTGCGTACCGGCAGCGCCCATTCTGTAAAACGAGTTTCTCACGATGCAACGCTAGCGCTTTGCGCACGCAGTCGCTGTTAATTATTTCGTATTGGCCCAGTTACTCACAGAATAAGCAGAAAAGATCAATCACCCTGGAACCTAGCGCACAGATGAAAAACCCATACTGGGCTTACCGATGAAATTGGCAAAGACTCGAATGGCATTACCGTCTGATCGCAGCTTAAGTAATATTCCTTCACAATGTGGCCAAATACAAGCACTATTTACCATGAATGCACAACCTCGTGTTACAAGCGTTCTAAGTCCCGGATTATCGCAGAGATCCTAGATTACTGTCACGACCAATGGCATGCCAATGCATGTTTGGCTGCGGATAAACCCATCACATTTCAAAAATGGGGTCAGTCGGGCATAGAGAGTCCGTCAGATGTAATTAAAAGTAATTAGGTAGGCATGCACTCCTGTATTATTCCGGGGTGTATCCGCGGATTGGCGATTTTGTAATAAGCCATCAGGAGTGACCATGACGGAGATTAGGGTATATTTTGATAGCAAACATTTTGGTCTCAAACTATGAACACTTGTGCGCAGGCGCAGTTCTAGACCGATGGCATTTTTTCGGGCCACCCTTGCATATCAAAAATGGAAATTGGTAAGAAAAGGCACTGTCGAAAGCAATTTTTAATTGTTTTATTCTGTGCCCCTCCTCCCCCCCCCCGAAAAAAAAACAACAACAACAACACTTAACCAGAAAGTAACGCCTATGGCGATTTTAGGGGCTTTTCCAAATAAAAAAGCGACAAATACTGAAGAAATTGAGAGAAAATGACCGAATATGTGGACCACTTTATATTTTCAATGGGCCGCTTTCACTTCTTGTCGCTTCTTGCTGCCAGGCCCATTTTTGCGCATGCGTGCATAATTATGAATTTATTAGTAAAAAATGTCCACACTACCAACATGACCAATAATTCATTTGAAGCATGAGCTTTGACGACGTCCTTTTAGTTGTTAAAGTAACCTACTTAAAAAATAATCAAAAACGAAATACTTGGGTTAAAGATTGTACTTAACACCCTGTGAAATTATTCCGTCCGGCTTGCTGTCATTTAGAAGAAAATCAAGAAATGTAGGTGATTTCCAACGATCAGTCAATTGACTGATTTTTTGGGTAAATAATGAGTGTTATATTGTGGACGAATTCGTGTTTCGTGATCAAAAGTTTGTGCATGAGTTTTGCACCGATTTCTCGAAAAGTGTCTCCAGTGAGCTGAAACGTCAACAGGTTTGATTTTGAACATTCTTCTTTGAATTTTGAATATGTTATTATTGGAACGAACAAAATGCATGACAAGCAAATGAACCTTTCTATGTCTTAAATGAGCGCATGCCTTGAATATCAGCCGAAACATGAGTTCACATAAGTAGGCCGATACCACTCAAAACTATTTACAAAAATCGCATAAATAATGAGCATGTACTCCTGAAGGACGATAAAACAATACAGTTTACAACTTCATAATATGCCCTTCGTCTCACATGTCCCCTTTTATTAGCAAAAAAGTGCAAATGTCTCCAATCACAGGACAAAAATAGAAGACTTTTTTTTAACTTAGCGGTTATTAAGTGTATGCACGGTGATGGTCATGGTTTGGGGCGCACTACTACCGTCACAGAGGCAGAAAATCGACTCACCAGACTCGGGGCGGCTTGCTTAAGTGTTAAGCTCTTAATCTAAGGATCAACGCTTATTTTTTGATAGACTCATCCACTGAGGGGTTCAGACAGTACAGATTGCCTCTGACCTATAGCTCGATCTGGTGGCCTAATTTAAATTTTAATGCCAAAATCCGTTTGTAAGTGCGTAGGATTATACCTTAATTGTTTCTGTCTGTTTTCATGGTGCTTTTTTTCTTAAACAAACACAATTTTCCTTCATTAATTCAATTATAAAAGTATGATGGTAGTTGTTAATTGAGATGTAAATCTCAATTAGGTAATTAAGATGTTAATTGAAAAACAAGTGCGAGTGCACAATAAGCTCTGGCCGTGTTGTAAGAGGTCTTGCATGAAAGTCTTGCATGAAATCCATCAAAATTATCCCTGCCAGAACTAAAAATTGCGAAGCCGAAAAATGCGAGGCCGATGGCACACCATGCTTTTGGTTATTATTTTCGGGGACAGACAGACAGACAGACAGACCGACCACCAAGTGACAAGTAGAAGCTCTTACCAGAGCTTAAAAATCACACCCTTGCTAGGATGGATTCGAACCCACGACCTCCTGTTTACTAAAGTACAAGTTGTAAGACGCCTGCACTTATAGGAATTATCATGGGGAACCACCAACCTAGGGCTGGATAGCTCAGTTGGTAGAGCACCGCAACGGCACCTCGGAGGTCGCAGGTTCAAACCCCACACCCGTCAATTTCTTTGTTCAACTTTTCAATTGTTATAATGCATCTGGTCATTTTCCCTATGTGGTTTATGTGAAATTTAAAGGAATTATGTCATTTAAAAGATGTTTATGGATGCTGTCGTTGTTAGTGACAACTTCGTCCGTAATGTCGTAACTATAATCGTCGCCGTCAATAAATGTCGCTGTCGTCAGCACAAATGACAACAAAGATCTTACCCTGACGCGTGATTCGGTCAGGTTGGTCCACGCAGCGATCTCCTCCCGTGTGGACATGTCCGGGTAGCGATTCCGGGCGAAGTTCCCTTCCAGCTCCTGCAGCTGTTGGCTGGTGAAATGCGTCCTCTGTCGGCGCTGGCGCCGCCTCTTGCCCGCCTCGCTCTCGTCGGAGTTCTCGGCACCGGAGTCCTTTCCTGCCGACTCCATTGACGTTTCAGCTACAATTAAACAGATCGCAAAAAGAGTCAGAAAAGTACACTCACTGCTGATTACTAGAGTTGCTTTTCCCGTGTACATCGAAAAGCGTGGTTTGTTTTGAAATTGCTGTTTTATAAAAGTTATTCACCTTTTTAATGACAAATCGAACAAAAAATCCACCCCCGTTTTGTATGGAATTACTGTACAAATTCAAATATTTGTTGCGGTCAGTCAATAATCAGGCGTATCTTTTGTGCCTTTTGGGCACAAATTCAAAGCACGCCAGAATAAAAGCGTATTTTCAGAGGGTTGAAAACTTCCTAAACAGAAGGTAGTTTTTCCATTTAAATAAAGCATACATATTGAAGAAGCGCCAGGCGAAAGAAAAACATAATTGAAGAGCGACTTTAAGACAAGTGAAGACAAACTTGCGAATTTGAATTAAAAATGGAAAGTAGTCGTGAAGTTGTTATCATCCCAATGTTTCAAGTTCATAGCTTAATGAAAATTCACTTTTAGAATTGAGTGTTGAAAGTCCAAATTAGTTTCCGCATCATCTCAAATTCACATTCACTATGTTGGCAAAATTCACATTCAGGCAATTTTCACACTTTTCTGCGTAAAGCGGATGCGATTTATTTTGGCAATCCTAAATGTAAGTTTGGATTAAGATGCGAATTTGAAAATGGTTGTGATTTTGTATTAGGCTCAAATTCACTTACCATATTGTCTGTTTTAATTCACATCTGTGCCTTTTATTGACGAAAAACATTTGTCGCTAGATTTAAGCAGGTACAACATCATCCATTAAAGGCATTATGATCATTTACTTTTCATGCATTTTGTTCGTTTCCAATAATAACACCACTCAAAATCCAAAGAAGAATGTTCAAAACCTAACTTGTTGAAGTTTCAGATGAACGGATATTAAACTTTTCTAGAAAATAGTGGAAAAACCATGCACAACCTTTGGGAAGGAAACACGATTTCGTCTATAGCAATCTGTATTTCCAAAAATAATTCAATTGACTGATCACCTATACATTTCTTGATTTCTTCTAAATGACAGCAGTCCAGATGGAATAATTTCACCGTAGGTTGTTTAGTACCAGTTCGATCTTTTATCCAAGTAAGAGTTTTGATAATAATTTAGTAGGTTACTTTTTTTGATAAATGCAAAAGATACTGTATGCCTTAAGTTCTGCGTTTACTGTAAACATTTTGTAAAAACATTTACCCCGCAATGTTAACAAAGGAGAAGCCGTGTTTAGTTAAAGTAGAAGATACAATTCTATTTTCAGGCGAACGGGGTTTATCTATACGTGTCACGTGTGGACACAGATGACACAAATTTAATAAAATTGAAGTCATTTAAATATTTTCGGCATGAATATGATTGCTATTATTACTTGATAAGCATTACTTGGTGATTTTTGTTTGCACATACTGTAAAGCAACGTTGCAGCCTTAAAAAAATTACTAATTTTTGCCTGTTTCTTTTGCTGTTTTATTTTCAAAGATTTTTAATTCCAATTTCACATTTGTTTTCCAAAACTCACCATTTTATCAAAAATACCTGGCTTTACAGCTTTGTATCATTATACAGTAAGATAGCACGAGTTCAATGACAACGGGGGAAACTGCTCTTTTGAAGAAAAGAAGATAAAAATCAAATACAAGAAAAAAACGCTTGGCCAATAAATCTAAGTCAATATTGACCGTTCAACCCAACGGGATTAAAAACGATCTCGGACGGTTAAATTTATGTACATTTTGACCGCGGTAAAACAACTGAAATCACACCACGCACGCATGGCATTCTGCGATTTGCTTTTCATGCATACATATTATGATATGAGGCGAATTTCAAGTCGGCCCACAACCTTTCCAAGTCGAAGGGATCTTTTATTGATGAAGTTGACTTGCCGTTAGTTTGTTGAATTTTCCTCGGGATGTCTTTCGGTGAAATGGCCAAACAAATTCATAGTAAACGGGTAGTCAATTTAGAAATCCTACGGTGTTTTGTTTGGACTAGCGTATCAGATCCCAACGGCCCTTCCCCGCATAACTTTGCAATTTCTTGAGATGATTTTGTTATGTTGTTTGTCAAAAACAAAGCCCGATAGTCCGAAGGTTCGATAGTCCGTATGTTCGATAGTCCGAATATATTATAAGGTTTGATAGTCCGAAGGCTCGATATTCCGAATAGATGGATAAGGTTCGGTAGTCCGAAGGTTCGATAGTCCAAAGGTTCGATATTCCGAATAGATGGATAAGGTTCGGTAGTCCGAAGGTTCGATGGTCCGAAGGTTCGATATTCCGAATAGATGGATAAGGTTCGGTAGTCCGAAGGTTCGATGGTCCGAAGGTTCGATATTCCGAATAGATGGCTAAGGTTCGGTAGTCCGAAGGTTCGATAGTCCGAATACATGATCAAGTTCGATAGGCCGAATGTACGGTAGGGTTCGATAGTCCGAATTGACAATAAGGTTCAATAGTCCGAATGGACAATGCGGTTCGTCGGTCTGACAGTTCGGACTTTTCGGACATTATTGTTGATTCGGACCACGGACCGTATTGTCGATTCGGACTATCGGACCTTATAAGCTTTTCGGACTATCGAACCTTATTGTCAATTCGGAATAATGCACCCTTGTACCAATCGAACTTTGTTTTCGTTTCGGACTATTGAACCTTCGGACTGATTAACCCTATTCTAAATTCGGACTACCGAACCTTCGGAGAAATGAACCTTCGGATTTTCGGACCCTCGGACTAATGAACCTTCGGACTATCGAGCGGAACCGTTTCGTCCATAAGTTAAAACACACGTACAGGATCATGCAGAAAAAATCATGCAGATCATGTAAAAGGTTTTTTTAAAAATGAAAGAAAGGTTTTGGGCGAAAAAAATATTTTCAGAAAGATAAGTCTCGAAGCTTTTAACCACGGGTGTAAACACCCAAGAATGTAGGGAAAAAATGTAAACACCCAAAAATGCCAAAAAATGTAGAAAAAATGTAAACACCCAAAAATGCCAAAAAAATGTAGAAAAAAATCATCAAACCATTAAAAAAAGCTTTGGTCGCTGTTACAGAAGAAGGCGATAAGAATTCTACCTCCAGAAAATATAAAGATGTATATGAATAAAAGTAGTACTTTCGAAAAGTAGAATATAGTAAGAAAAGATTGATCTTTATAATGCACGCACGCATTTGTAAGGGGCAACAGTTGACTGTAGTTCTTGATCTTAAAATCATTACTTTTAATTAACTTCAGCCAAATTCAGCTGACATTTCTTCAAATGTTTCTCATTAGAATTTACGCAGGAAACCGTCCCACGGGGTTTAAGTTCTAATCTGAGGCGGTTTTGCACGTGGTGCTGTTGTCATGGTAACAAATTGAAAACTGAAACGGAATCTTTTAAATGCGCATAATTTGAACTCCCGAGGAGCAGCAACAAATTCAATTCGTTATTCGTATACTTTCCTGGACACGTGTTTTTTTCTACAGGTCTTCTCCTGTGCAACCCAAAGACAGAGTTCGGGCGGTCGGTTCTTGACACGGGTATAATGTTCTCGCACTCGAACGTCGGGAACACGACACACAAACTCTGCACTCGGAACAAGATCACATCCGTCGGGGTTTTACAGGAACGATATACCCGTGTCAAGAACACACCGCCCGAACTCGGACAATATGTCTACGTAGTGGTGACACTTACTTAAAAGTGACGTAGCAGTGTTCATAAAAAACTTATAATATAAGTGTTTTTTCATTTACACTTCGATAGTTTTTTTAAAGTCCCAACGTTTTGTACAAAGGTGCGTAACCTGTTGCATTCAAATTCTGCCCTAAGGCATAGGTATATAATAACAGGCGTATCCAACCGTTCGCCATCTTGAAGGAATGTTTTACTAGAGAGACAAAACTCGAGCGATTGGACAGTAAAGGAAGCAGCAATGTAAATAACACAATGTCGAAGAAAGCACACTTTTTGACGTTGAGCGTTACTCTGCAATGAAAACGGGCTAAAACGATAGTGAGCTGAACACCACCAAGGCGTTTGGGCCGACCTAAACGAAATTCATTAGTGATCTAACGACGTCTGGGGCAGTTTTTCTGAGGTCGTCTTATAAGCAATATACCATTCGGAATTGAGTAGGCCACTGAGGAGTAATCACAAATACTTTTCACGGCATTATACACTTTTATTGGTGCCAAACACATTGCAGTACTTTATTTGATGTTCCAGCTAGAATATATTTTATTGCTAGTGTGATGGAATACTATTCGTTTACTGATTCATCTTGATATAGTGCAGTTGTGAATTGGCTTTGAACAAGCGATCAATCATCGTGCAAAATTGTGCAAGAAATAGATAATATCAAACAGTAGCAATTGTACATACCTCGTGTGGATCTGTTCCGGCCGTCGGAAGTGACCGTGTTACCCCAAGTCGACCCATGGGATCCCTCGGAGCTTGAGCCCCCATGACGTGGATGCTGATTCCCGCTACCACCGCCTCCATTGATGACTTTTTCCACCACGCCACGCGGCAGCCTGCCCGCCGTTCTGATCGCATCCGACCCGGCGTATGTCTCAAGCGCCGACAGCGGAGCGCTTAAAATCTCCATACTATCTCGAGGAAAAAAGCTTCCCGTATCTAGACTGATCAGGTTAGATTAAGGAGACTTTCGGACCACCAGCTTCGGCTGGCTTAGCTTGCAACTCGGCGGAGGAGGGAAGGTCTGTTTGAAAGCCGAGGGATAAAGCCGCGAACGTGGGCCGAGGATCTGCGCTTAAACCCCCCACTAGCTCGACAAGCCTGTGCGGTACTACAAATCCAAACACTTGAACTTGCGTTTGTAAATTGGGTTGTCGCTCACGTCACGCACGTGATAGTATGCGCGTGGTTTGGGTTAGATACTCAAGTCATTTCATTCGACTAGTAAATCTCTTGGCAGTTTCATTCCAAAACGTGGCCTTTCGATCGCGGACCACTTGATTATTGACATAGGGCCAGGGGTGACTTACTAAAAATGCGAAACGAAGCGAGGGACTTACGTCGGTTGCCTTATGCCTTGTGATTTGAATTTGAAATTAAAAGCCTAGCATGGACTTCTAATGTTGCAATCGGCGCTCCATATTACCTGCTCGTGGCAACCGTCACGTCGGGCTCGCGTGCCTGAAGTTCAAAGTGCGCATGCGCACTTTGAGACGCGCTGTTGACGTCGGTGTGAGCGTGCGCACTAAGTGGTCACTTGCACTTTTAGCACCGCCTTGACCAATGGCGACTCGCAGTGCTTCGTAGGCCGAAGGAAACTTCCTGTCGACTTGTTTTCTGAGGGATTTAGTGCGTAAACTGCGATGACCATGAACGTCGTTCCCAGTGAGCATGCGCGATAATGCGCAACGTTTTGACCAATTAACTTATCGTGCTTCACTGTCTCTCATCGCATCTCGAGAATGATTTCTCCGGCCTGGAATTAGACCTCAGAGAAAGCTTTATTTACGTCAGAGAAAATGTAAGAGACAAAGAAGAGCCAAAAACTCCCAATTCTAAAGTTTGCGTCTTGGTTCCCAATTCAATAAAATTGCCCCCCCCCAAAAAAAAATTATCAAACAAAGTCTTATTAAAAAAAAAAAATTTAATATTGTTGACTGCTTAAAAGCAGTTAACCAAATTTATCAACGAACGTTTTGGCCTTACAAATATTCGTCTAAAATAATTAATTGATCAAATAATTTCGCACAGTCCAAAATGGTAAAACAGGTATATCAAAGGAGGTTTTGCCCTTCACCGACGTATAAACACTGTATACTCAGTGTGTTACCTCCCGAGTGACAGTTGGGAAAAAAATCACTCGGGTGGAAAGCAGGAAGTCGTGGGTTCGAGTCCCACCGAGTGATTTTTTCCAACTGTCACTCGGGAGGTAACACTAATACATCGGTGAATGGGCAAAACCTAATTTGATATTGATCAACTTAACCCACATGGAATACTGATGGCTTTATAGAGCGACTGGGAAACAAGCAGCAAGAGGGCGGTATTTCAATTTCACTGTGGACGACACTGGTTTTCGTCAATGTCTATAAAAAAAACTTGTCAGACTGAAAACTCTGAGGGCGCTATATAGGCGTTCTGTAAAACAGGATGATGTCGCAGTGAGTGTTGAATTCACTAAGTCCGAATTCTCACTATCATTATATTAACATAGGAACGTAGATTTAACCAACGGAGACCACAGGGGAATATTTAGGAGGAATATCCTGCAATTTCCAGGACGTTGGAAATTAAATACGACTATGGAGTTGGACACTGTCGGAAACTAGGCAGCGCTGTTTATGTCTAACATGCGCGACTGCGTCCATTACTGCTACATGCAGACCAGTAAATATTCTCCAAAACAATGACAAATTAACTCCACCGACAAAAATCGGGAGAAAATACTCTCACAGTTAAAGCTTGGTTACCCTCGTTCACTTAAAGTTTAGTTTGGGGGTTAACTGATGACTTTTGGGTGATTTCTCCCTCCAAGATGATCACCCCTAAAAGCAGTCCTGAAGCCCATCGCCAATTGTAAACTGATCCCTACACTCCATTGCAAAATAGAATGACTTTCTGCTCCTGAATTTCATTAATAGATTGCCTGAAATACAAGTTCAAAGACCGGTTCAGATGGTGGATCCTTCATTTCTAAAAAAAAAAAAAAAAAAACCACACAATTTTATGAGCCACAAAAACGATTAAGGAGGAAAACTGAGGGCATACAAAGGGTAATTTTGACGGCGTTTAGGCAATTTCGGGCCTATATACTGGTTTGCAACCTTTAATACGGCAAAGGAAGTACAGTTGGGGGGTGACCGACTGACGCCATCTTGCCTGACTGCAATTCATTTGCCGCGAAGCGCGGCCACTGCGTGTAAATAGAACAAATCCCCTGGTGTACGTGCGTCATACACAAGGAACGGTGCGCGTCAACCAGCGAAATGCCCCACCCCCTTGACGTCGTTGTTAGGTAAAAGGGCGACCTCTCTTGGTAGCGCACGGAGCTCATAGAAACATTTATTTCAATGTTGTCATTTCCACACTATAAAATGTTACAATATCATGTAAACTTATTTTACAAAACAAAATGCAATGAATTATGTAATAGTGTTTATTAATGTACATGGATCAATACTAAAAATTTACGACAACATTAAGGTATAAGGTGAAGCGTCACGCTTTTGTACCCTAACCTATCGACAGACAAGTGGACATGACCGAGAAAAACAGAGACAGTGACAAAGGACAAAATGGTCAACAGTCAGACACACAAAGACACAACCTAGAAAAACACAAACTGGTATGAGACGAGGGCATAAGTCTAGATTCATAAATTATAACTATACTTATTAAAACAGTATAAGTAAGCAATCCAATACATGAAATTTTTTTGTGAATTCAGGCCTTAAAACTACAGGCTTATCCTCCTCAGCTACCCTTTTTTGTATAGGCCTACACGACTACTCAATTCCTCTGTGTGTTCATGGTGAAATTTCTGGAGCTATAGACTTTATGCCTGGTATGATTTAATTAAAAAGTTTAAGGGACGATCTTTTGACCCACTAGAGGTTTACATTCTCCCAACGCCCCTCTTCACGTGATTTACTCTCTGGTAAAAACGTCGTTCTTACTGTAAACGTATTATCTAAATCTGTTTTCCGGGAACATTTACTACCGTATAACACTCCTAAAATCCAAAGTCCATGTCATGCTTTCAAGTTTAACACACCCTGTTTCAAATCCGGAAAACAAACAAAGAGAAAATCAACAGGAATAGAATAAATGAAAAATATGATAACGCGGTCCTAAATTATGAGCCAATCCTCTTATCATGGTTGTATAAATCCGACAGACCACGCCCCTCGGATGGTATTTAAATCCATACATGCTTGACATCGGTTTTTATTCGACTTGTCCAAGTCGTCTCGCCGTTTAATTGTTACTTTGTCAGGTGTGGATTTTGAGTAGTAAGATGTCCCATTTGCTTGTCCATTTTGCGAGAGTGTACTCTTTTTATCTGACTGACTGTTATGGGGTTTTTCGAAACATTGTCCTTGTCTTCGGCTTCGGTTTTGCCTCCAAATTCTGAATCACTGAGGCAAACCAATTGAAAATAGTCGAAACTCTGGCTCCATTTCAACTGACTGAATACTCCTGAAGCATAACAGCACCAAAATGTAGCTGGAGTCCCCGAAGTTGGGGCCTAAAGTTTCCTTGAGCCGAGACGAAGATGCCCTTAGACTGATTATAGACTAGTGAAGAGCTGGGCAGTCCTGTCGTATAGGTTTACCAAGCAACGTCAATGAATAGGCTACATCCGGCCCATTGTGTTAATTGGATACATTCTATTGAGCCACTCTATTGAACATTATTTGGTGCGCTCTGCTGAGCTGCATTACAGAAAACCACTTGTGACAGGAATTTTAAACTATTTCACTTATTTGAATACTGTAGTGAAGCTCTTCAACCATGCGTGGTTGAAAAAATATCTTTTAAAAACTCGCAAGAATAGTGCTATTATGCTAATTTGAATACAAGTCACCAAAAACACTGTTGTCCACAAGCCACGTGTAGTGTTTAAATCAAGCTCCGGAGCTCAGTCAAGCAGATAGAATAAAGCCGCCCGTGGACAAACAGAATTGGAACATGTAATTTTAAGCTACCATATCTCAGAGACAAAATGCATTTATAATCATGTTTTTCCTCACTTACGTTTAAACATAAATACTTCAATACCACTAACTTGAATTTTTGAAATATGCTACACAAGTAGGTGGAAATTGTTGTCAAAAGTGGGATGCGATTTGAAGGTTTGCATGGTGAACGGTAATAATAAGGTAAGTTGTTGAGGTAGCACCATGATGGAATATGCCAAAAGTGGGTTTCCTTCTTTTTGCACCGCCCAGTAGTATTGCCTCATCTTGTTTTACTCCGTAACCCCTGAGAACATTGAACAAGCAACTGCCCTTCCAGAGTCCGTTTCTCCTTCTCACGATAAAGGTATGTTTTGATGAAATTTCAATTTCATTTCTTAGTTGGTTTCGACTGCCGGCCAGTGCGAAGACCGTACTCGCACCAGCGCAGCCCACAGGCACTGTCGAGTTTCATCAGAGGCCACCGAGTCAAATCACTCTCGGTGGTCGCTGCCAGGTCAGACTTTTAATTTTTGCCCCGAAGCACTTTCATATTTGTTGCATTTTTTCCCCTTTCACGCGTGTGTCAAATATTTTTTTCCCCAAAACTGTCCCTGCTCGTTCCACTGACCTCTAATAACTGGACTGAGTGCTACACGCAAATTAGCCAATGCACCTTGAAGCGAGATCTACCATCTTAGGTCCCCAAAAGTTCACTCCGAAACATGTACATCGAAACAAAAGAAACTTGTGGACCCAAAAATCTGGATTTTTGCAGGCTTCTTCACGTGTAGCTCAGTAACAAACTAGTGGAGCTGTAACAAGTCTATGTCCTTATCAAAGGATCAGTTTTAAAAGCCACTTCAAATAAAGCGATGCAGCTTGTCCATGTTCGTTGTTGGCTCTTGACACACATCACACCGTTGGGTTGTGGCTAGCGGCGATTGGTGATAAGCCCGAACTCTTTACCACATCTCCAGTTTGGGCTGAAGTCAATTCCAGTCCAGGTGTTCCATCACTAGGGGTCCGTTATCAAACAGGCATCACAATGGGTGCGGACGACGAGAGACTGAACCAAATGGAGATATCGGAAGGCGAGAGCTACCCGGAGAAACAGGGCGGGATTTACTGCCGCAAGAGTCAGATCGCGGCGTTTGTGGTCCTAGCTATCCTGGCGACGACTGGTGTGGGGCTGATGGCGGGCCTTCTACCGCAATGTGACGTTCCTCCGGCCGAACCGATCAAAGGCACCTCTGCTAAACCTCCGACGAAGACTACTAAAATGCCACCCATGATGACCACCAAACAATCAATGATGACCACCAAACAATCAATGATGACTACCGACGAACCGATGACCACTTCTGCCCCGTGTAATGATCCCTGGTGCAACCTACGCCTACCCTCCGCCATCTATCCGGAGCACTACAAGTTGCTGCTCTACCCGGACCTAGAGACCGCTAACTTCACCGGCACAGTGGACATTGACATCGTGGTGAATGAAACCATCAGGTTTCCACGGCTCCACATCAAGGAAATGATCATCCTTTCGTCTGAGATCAGGCCGGCCGTAGATTCAGGCTCCACGCCGGCACCACCTCTGGCGGTGGCTCGGCCGCCCTTTGATTATGTCCCGAATCAGTTTTACGTGATGGAGATGGCGCAAGATCTGCAGCCAGGCAACTATGTTTGGAGCCTGGAGTTTCAGGGATATCTGCAACCAAACCGTGTCGGCTTCTACCTGAGCACGTACACAAATGACAAAGGCGAACAAAGGTAAGGCCACACTACCGTTCTACTGCTTAAAAAATATCGATCAACCTACAATACAAGTCATGGTTGGCAATGTATCTTTAAAAATTGAAATGTCCTTATTAACCCCATGTGTTATCTAGACAAAGATTTCCAAAGAGCCGAATTGTATTTAATGCAATATTCGTAACTTTAATCGCAATCGTCAGCTTGTCTTCAGAATGTTTTCAATCAGAAGATGACAGGTATTTCACTGGGGCAAAGGCGATAGCAGCTTGCGTTTGCCATCGGCACTGCAGCTCAGTTTTCAGGTCTCGGAAATTTGAAACCAAGAAACTTTTTATACATCATTGATCATCAGTGACTTATCCAGGTTTTGGGACCAAGAGGCAATGGCGGATCTAGGGGGTTGAAGGTTGCACCCCCCCCCCCCCCCCCCCCCCCCCCCCCCCCCCGTTTAGCCACCGACTAATTTTATGATACACGTAAAATGGGTACCAAAAATGATAAGTGGAATCATATGGTAAGTTCCTAAATGTACTTTAGAATTCAGGTGAGATCATCGTAGATTTCACAATTTTTCGGTGAGCATGCCCCAGACCCCCTAGTTGGGCGTGTCTTGGGCGCACCTTCACTACCCCCCCCCCCTTCATATCACCCCACCCCACCCCCGTTTCATGAACGCTAGCTCCGCCCATAGCAATAACATGGGTAATTATTTTTTTCTGAAATTGTGACACCAGTATTTTTGTGGGTGTGTCGGAAAAAAATGGTTTAATGCGGGGAAGGGTATAGCAAGTAGCGGCTTTGAGTTGCTTAGGCCTTCATTATTAATGGCAATATATAACCGAGTCCGAGTCCAAGTCCGAGTCACAAGGTCGAGTCCGAGTCATTTGTCATTGTGACTCGAGTCCGAGTCAGAGTCATGAAAAATTGGACTCGAGTCGGACTCGAGTCCGAGTCACGAGTCATACAAGTCTGGAGTTAGGCCTTCCAGTTTATGTCCATCCAAATCAACACCGTTGTGGAACTTTTTGTGTCATAAATCTTTCCATTCCGAGTCCGAGTCCGAGTCATTGAAAATTGGACTCGAGTCGGACTCGAGTCCGAGTCACGAGTCATACAAGTCTGGAGTTAGGCCTTCCAATTTATGTCCATCCAAATGAACACCGTTGTGGAACTTTTTGTGTCATAAATCTTTCCATTCCGAGTCCGAGTCCGAGTACTTGAAAATTGGACTCGAGTCGGACTCGAGTCCGAGTCACGAGTCATACAAGTCTGGAGTTAGGCCTCCCAATGTATGCCCATCCAAATCAACACCGTTATGGAACTTTTTGTGTCATAAATCTCTCCATTGTACGTTTCGTATTGAAGTTCCTGCCATTTTCAATCTAGCCACAAAATCGTCCGGTTACGTCATTATACCCGGCCATCCACCAGAGACCTGCTCTCGAGCTGGGGCAGTGGTGGTTGACACTGGGCCAGCCATGTCTAGCACGTGATGGCTAATCGAACACTCTCGTGTACATTTTGATCACACGTGTAAGCTAATCGAACGCATCGTAAACAGACGGGTCTTTTTTAAACATTGAGCGCCATTTTGTATGGAATGCCTCAAGGGTATAAATTTAAGCCGTGGTCAGCCACAGAACTTGTCAAGAATCGCATATGACACCCTCATTGTGTAAGAAAGAGGCATTTGTTGGTATTGCGTTTGTTGGTTATGTTGTGTTTTCAACTATCCAATGATATGTTTCGAAACATTAATAGCTATAATTACAAGTAACTTTCCATAGTAAGTTGGGCAAAAAGTGCCAACCACGGATTGGCAAAAGAAGTTTGGCGCCCTCTTGGGGTTATAAATTATGTTCCACAGTGAAATCAAGTATTAACTTTTTTTACTTATTCATTAATACATTCTATAGCTCAACCACGAGTCATTATTTTCACACACAAAAAGTTTTTCACAAACAAATTATATACGAAATATCTTTAAGTATCCTATGTGTGATGACGGGTATATATTGCCTACAATATGGATTAATCCAAATTTTCCGAGACATACTTATTTTTGTTATTCTTCTTGAATGTTAAGTCGACATGAATTCACATAATATACCAGTCTATGTTCTTATCAACTGGAACATGATCAAAATTCAAAAGTCCACTTCAAAAAACTGCGACGTAACTTCTCATGAGCTTTGTCAAGGTAAGTTGCGTACTAGGCGATCGTCGCTCCAGTTGCGTCTTACCAATACACCTGACTTTCGCGAATTTCCAGTTTGTGCAATCACTATTAATAAGTCAAGGCGCTCGGAGGTTAGAGACCCCATCCACAGGTATCATAATGGGTACTGACCATGATGATGTGAAACTGAGTACTATGGAGATAGAGGAAAGTGGAGGAAGCGACTCGTCATCATCGGAGAAATCGAGCTCGCGCGGGATCTACTGTCGCAAGAGTCAGATCGCAGCCTTCGCCGTCCTAGCGGTCTTGCTGATTGTAGCAGTGGGTCTGCTAGCGGGGCTCCTGCCGCAGCGTGACGTACCATCGAAGGAACCTATCAATGCCACCCCGGATAAACCCGAGCCGACGATGATGAAGACCACGAAAATGCCGCAGGTGACCACGAAAATGCCGCAGGTGACCACGAAAATGCCGCAGGTGACCACGAAAATGCCGCAGGTGACCACGAGAATGCCGCAGGTGACCACGAGAATGCCGCAGGTGACCACGAAAATGCCGCAGGTGACCACGAAAATGCCGCAGGTGACTACGAAAATGCCGCAGGTGACCACGAAAATGCCGCAGATGACCACGAAAATGGTGACCACAAAAATGCCGCAGGTGACCACGAAAATGCCGCAGGTGACTACGAAAATGCCGCAGGTGACCACCAAAATGCCGCAGGTGACCACCAAAATGCCGCAGGTGACCACCGCCCAACCAACCACGCCTGCCCCGTGTAATGATCCCTGCTGCCCTCTACGTCTCCCCTCTGCCGTCTATCCAGAACACTACAAGTTGCTGCTCTACCCGAATCTAGACACCGCTGACTTCACCGGCACAGTGGACATCGACATCGTGGTGAAGGAAACCATCATGTCAAGAATCAGTTTTACGTGATGGAGATGGCGCAAGATCTGCAGCCAGGCAACTATGTTTGGAGCCTGGAGTTTCAGGGATATCTGCAACCAAACCGTGTCGGCTTCTACCTGAGCACGTACATAAATGACAAAGGCGAAAAAAGGTAAGGATGTACCGGGCTAACCCTTTTTTTCTTAACAAAAAAATGTGTTGCCTCTACAACCAATACCAAGAAATCCTTCGCGCCAAGCTTTACTGTCTCGCGGTTAGCAAGAACATTTACACGGAGTGAAAGATTCCAAAAGATGTCAATTGTATCTACATCGCCGCTTCATCCAAAACTAAAACTTCACCATAAATCTAATACTTTCAATTACTTCTGAGATGGAGGCTTACACGATAATGGCCACATTGTATTTGCAGACTCAAGTTTTTGCGTTTTGAATTCGAATTTTTTTTCTCCAGATAATATCCTCTGCTCGACAACTGAAAGACTTTAAGATCCTTTTTGATATGGTATACATCTGCAAGTAATATTGTACTGTCTTAGAAAAGCATCCACTAAAGCCACTACCATCACCGCACGAAACAAATTCCTTTTAACACCGAAAATTAGCGGGGGCTTTGCAGTTATTCAAGTGAAAGACTTTTTTCTTAACATTGAAACATGATAGAAGCGAAATATTGTTGACTCATCTCGATATCTTGTGTGAATAATTATGATGTATCTTGTTCGTCGTTAGACAAAGATCAGATTAAATGCCTGGTCATTTTTGTAAGTTTACATAAAAGCAACCTACCACTCTTCTAGCGTGAATAAACAAACACAAAAACAAAACAAAAAATCATGTACAAAATCCTATATGTGATGACGGGCGTAATGCCTGCATTATGGATTTATCTAAATTTTCCGAGATACTTATTTTTGTTATTCCTTTTGAATGTTAAATCAATGAATTAACATAATTATCAAATTCATATTTAATGTTTGAAATATCATCAATATTAAATCGGTGTAAAAGTGAAATTTTGGTGTGATGCGTAGTTGAACGGTGGTCCTCCGATCTGCCTAAACTGATTAGCAGTCGACTGAAACGATATTAAAACCAGAAGAGTGCTTCTGCCTCTATTTACATAGAGTTGCATGGTGCTCGTTTGCTATAGAACACCTATAGAACACCTCGCACTAGGACAAGTCTATGTTCTTATCAATCGGGTCACGATCAAAAGTCCACTTCATGTCAACGTAACTGCGACGTAACTTCTCACGGATTTGGTCAAGGTTAGTTGCGTACTAGGCGATCGTCACTCCAGGTGTGTCTTACTAATACACCTGACTTTCGCAAACTTCCAGTTTGTGCAACACGATCGGAGGTAAGAGTCTCCGTCCGCAGGTATCATAATGGGTACTGACCATGATGACGTGAAACTGAGTACTATGGAGATGGAGGAAAGTGGAGGAAGCGACTCGTCATCGGAGAAATCGAGCTCGCGCGGGATCTACTGCCGCAGGAGTCAGATCGCAGCCTTCGTGGTCCTAGCGCTCTTGCTGATGGCAGCGGTGGGCCTGCTAGCGGGGCTCCTGCCGCAGTGTGAGGTACCATCGAAGGAACCTATCAATGCCACCCCGGATAAACCCGAGCCTACGATGATGAAAACCACGAAAATGCCGCAGGTGACTACCAAGAAGCCGCAAGTGACCACCGCCCAACAACCCCCAACCAAAGCGATGACCACTGAGCAACCAACCACGCCTGTCCCGTGTAATGATCCCTGGTGCCCTTTACGTCTCCCCTCTGCCGTCTATCCAGAACACTACAAGTTGCTGCTCTACCCGAATCTAGACACCGCTAACTTCACCGGCACAGTGGACATCGACATCGTGGTGAATGAGACCATCAGGTTTCCACGGCTCCACATCAAGGAAATGATCATCCTTTCGTCTGAGATCAGACCGGCCGTAGATTCAGGCTCCACGCCGGCACCACCTCTGGCGGTTACTGAGTCCTTTGAGTATGCCAAGAATCAGTTTTACGTGATGGAGATGGCGCAAGATCTGCAGCCAGGCAACTATGTTTGGAGCCTGGAGTTTCAGGGATATCTGCAACCAAACCGTGTCGGCTTCTACCTGAGCACGTACACAAATGACAAAGGCGAAAAAAGGTAAGGATATACCGGGTTTACATTTTTATTTGTAAATGTGTTGCTTCTACAACCGTATACCAAGAAATCCTTGACGCCAAGCATTACTGTCTTGCGGTCAGCAAGAACATCTACACGGAGTGAAAAATTCCAAAATATGCCAATTGTATCGACATCGCCGCTTCATCCAAAACTAAAACTACGTCCTAAATCTAACACTTTCAATTACTTCTGAGATGGAGGCTTACGCGACAATGACCACATTGTGTTTGCAGACTCAAATTTTTGCGTTTCGAATTAGATTTTTGTTTGTCCAGATAATATCCTCTGCTCGACAACTGAAGGACTTTAAGATCCTTTTTGATATGGTATACATCTGCAAGTAATATTGTACTGTCTTAGAAAAGCATCCACTAAAGCCACTACCATCACCGCACGAAACAAATTCCTTTTAACACCGAAAATTAGCGGGGGCTTTGCAGTTATTCAAGTGAAAGACTTTTTTCTTAACATTGAAACATGATAGAAGCGAAATATTGTTGACTCATCTCGATATCTTGTGTGAATAATTATGATGTATCTTGTTCGTCGTTAGACAAAGATCAGATTAAATGCCTGGTCATTTTTGTAAGTTTACATAAAAGCAACCTACCACTCTTCTAGCGTGAATAAACAAACACAAAAACAAAACAAAAAATCATGTACAAAATCCTATGTGTGATGACGGGCGTAATGCCTGCATTATGGATTTATCTAAATTTTCCGAGATACTTATTTTTGTTATTCCTTTTGAATGTTAAATCAATGAATTAACATAATTATCAAATTCATATTTAATGTTTGAAATATCATCAATATTAAATCGGTGTAAAAGTGAAATGTTGGTGTGATGCGTAGTTGAACGGTGGTCCTCCGATCTGCCTAAACTGATTAGCAGTCGACTGAAACGATATTAAAACCAGAAGAGTGCTTCTGCCTCTATTTACATAGCGTTGCATGGTGCTCGTTTGCTATAGAACACCTATAGAACACCTCGCACTAGGACAAGTCTATGTTCTTATCAATCGGGTCACGATCAAAAGTCCACTTCATGTCAACGTAACTGCGACGTAACTTCTCACGGATTTGGTCAAGGTTAGTTGCGTACTAGGCGATCGTCGCTCCAGGTGTGTCTTACTAATACACCTGACTTTCGCAAACTTCCAGTTTGTGCAACACGATCGGAGGTAAGAGTCTCCGTCCACAGGTATCATAATGGGTACTGACCATGATGACGTGAAACTGAGTACTATGGAGATGGAGGAAAGTGGAGGAAGCGACTCGTCATCGGAGAAATCGAGCTCGCGCGGGATCTACTGCCGCAGGAGTCAGATCGCAGCCTTCGTGGTCCTAGCGCTCTTGCTGATGGCAGCGGTGGGCCTGCTAGCGGGGCTCCTGCCGCAGTGTGAGGTACCATCGAAGGAACCTATCAATGCCACCCCGGATAAACCCGAGCCTACGATGATGAAAACCACGAAAATGCCGCAGGTGACTACCAAGAAGCCGCAAGTGACCACCGCCCAACAACCCCCAACCAAAGCGATGACCACCGTCCAACCAACCACGCCTGTCCCGTGTAATGATCCCTGGTGCCCTCTACGTCTCCCCTCTGCCGTCTATCCAGAACACTACAAGTTGCTGCTCTACCCGAATCTAGACACCGCTAACTTCACCGGCACAGTGGACATCGACATCGTGGTGAATGAGACCATCAGGTTTCCACGGCTCCACATCAAGGAAATGATCATCCTTTCGTCTGAGATCAGACCGGCCGTAGATTCAGGCTCCACGCCGGCACCACCTCTGGCGGTTACTCGGTCCTTTGAGTATGCCAAGAATCAGTTTTACGTGATGGAGATGGCGCAAGATCTGCAGCCAGGCAAATATGTTTGGAGCCTGGAGTTTCAGGGATATCTGCAACCAAACCGTGTCGGCTTCTACCTGAGCACGTACACAAATGACAAAGGCGAAAAAAGGTAAGGATGTACCGGGCTTACATTTTTCTTTGTAAATGTGTTACTTCGTCAACCGTCTACCCAGAAATCCTTCACGCCAAGCATTACTGTCTTGCGGTCAGCAAGAACATCTACACGGAGTGAAAGATTCCAAAAGATGCCAATTGTATCGACATCGCCTCTTCATCCAAAACTAAAACTACGTCCTAAATCTAACACTTTCAATTACTTCTGAGATGGAGGCTTACGCGACAATGACCACATTGTGTTTGCAGACTCAAATTTTTGCGTTTCGAATTAGATTTTTGTTTGTCCAGATAATATCCTCTGCTCGACAACTGAAGGACTTTAAGATCTTTTTTGATATGGTACATCTGCAAGTAAAATTATACTGTCTTAGAAAAGCATCCACTTATTCCACATCGTCACGAAACAAATTCCTTTTAACACCGAAAATTAGCAGGGGCTTTGCAGTTTTTCAAGTGAAAGACTTTTTTTCCTTCACATTGAAACGTGATAGAAGCGAAATATTGTCGACTCATCTCGATAGCTTGTGTGAATAATTACGATGTACCTTGTTCGACGTTAGACAAAGATCAGATTATAGGCATAGTCATTTTTGTAAGTTTATATAAAAGCCACCTATACCACCCTTCTAGCGTGAATAAACAAACACGCACTATATCAACACACTTAAGTAAATCGAAGCTGTGATAACACCAAGTTCATAATTCACTACAAATTAGGCAAATAGTAAAGGTCAACAAAGTTTGATCAGACAACGCCTAGAGCATACTAGAAGCGTGTTGTCGTTCCAAATTATTCAAGTGCCTTGTAGATTCCTATTTGTTAACAGTTAACAGTATAGACTTGTGTATGTCTGCCGAGTGTCCGAATTCGACCATGCGACACCACTAACTGACCCCCTTTGCATTAAACTATCAAGAGAGTTGATCAGTCGTGGAGAATAATGACGACTTTACCCGTCTTGAAATACGCACTAAAGGTTGCAGGCCAGTAAATCGGTCCGAAATTGCCTACGCCAGCCAAATCACGATTTGCATGCCCTCACTCTTCAGTATTTGAGCATACTGTGGGCCATGAACTGGAGGGTTTGTAAAAAATACGGGTAGAAGCCGTGCATAGGACTGTGAGCTTGTAGTTCCGTTCAATTTGGATGAAATTTGGGCCCTAAAAGCGCTCTATTTTGCAATGGAGTGTAGGCATCGTTTTTCAAAATGGCGATTGGCTTCAGGACTATTTTAAGGGTTGATCATCTTCGGAAGGAAATTTCTCCTAAAAGTCATCAGTTAACCCCCGTAAATTGAAAAAAAAAATTAAAGATGATGAAATAAGCTTTAATTTGATGTGTGTCTCGAACACCTTGGAGAGTTGTGAGTATTTTTCCCGAATTTCTGAAGTGGGAGCATTTATCATTGGGGTCAATGGAAGTTTATTTACTGGTCTGGAACAAAAGTCTTTTCTTGGTCCTGCTATAATAGTTGAATTATCAGAAGTGGAGCAAGCGGCTTGAGCGCAGTCCGGTCTGTTTGTACCAATCACCTCTTTCTGCGTCGGTACCGAAAGAATTCGACTTAAAAAATAAATAACATTTGGAGGGGAAAATTGTCATGAATGTCAGCGTCGTCCTCAAAAATGTAACATAAAAATGCATTGAACTAGACTTTGAATCTTGCAAATCTGGTTTCGTCAACTTTGCAGTGACGCAATATACAACTCTCTTTTCAGGGGGCGGGGCGTGGCTTCGGCCTTCCAATTTCTTTCACCTCCGTCACACCTTTTTATTGACATCGAATCGATACATTTTTAGAAGAAGTTCTTTTCTCCGGGCTCTACACTGCAAAAACTGTAGTGTTAATTAAACACCATTCGGTATCTATATAGGACAACACCAGTAAAATTTAACACCAGATGGTCCTATATAGATACCAATGGTGTAAATTTAACACTGCAGTTTTTGCAGTGCAGTGTGTGTATCCGTATACGCACCTGCAAAGTTTAATTCTTCAGTCATTAATTAGAGATGTGCAGACTGTGTGCAGCTCGAGTAATGTATGCTAAATCAGCATTTTTTTTGGGGGGGGGGGTTTCATCTGGCACACTATGGGCAATGTACATTTCACATCAAAATATTAAGATGTATATAATGTGAGTTTGATGAAATAACTACACAAACTTGTATCGGTGATTATATCCAGTGCGACAGTATTTTCGTCCGAGCCGCATATATCCCGTATACGCAAAAATTTTCTTTGAATCTCGGTAAAGTAATTGACCGTAATACGCATGCGTAAAACATATCACGTGAACGTATATAATGTCACCTGATTCAGAATAACTTTTTATACGGCGAGCAGTGCGTACTGCGCTAAATTGATGGTCGGAATGCCCTTTTTCGGGCTCAAATCGTTGACGACTTTTACATTTTCCTTTTTTTCCCAAAAGTGAAATTTCTTCCAAAAAAATTGTATCAATGAAATCCTGTTGATCGATAAAATACAATTCACCCTTTTCTTCTCATTCAATGCTCTCAGGATTCAGGGGATCTTTTTTTAAAGGGAAATAGTAAGTCCGAGAATCATTACCAACTGACGCATGCGCAATTGCGCATTATGGTCATTGACACTACACTCTTGGTTGCAGAGAAAGTAAATTGCATCCCGTAATACCCGCACTATTTGTACCGGTCCCTAATATGCACATAACGTAACAGCAATATAAAGGTCCCCGAAGGCCAACAATCAGCACAGCGCGTTCACTGGCATCCCCAACATATGGTGAGTTAATTATAAAGTCAAGGTTATATGCAACGAATAGGTACAGGCAGGATCATGCCAACAACTCGCAAGGACCATGGGAGGCCGACGTAAACGGAGCGATTTGGTGAACTTCTTCATTCCTAGTGAAGATCCTTCGTCAGACAAAAGTCAGAACAGCCAGGAGGACTCACAGAAGAAAGGGATCTTCTGGCGTAAGGGTCAGATTGCAGCGTTCGCTGTTCTGGTATTGTTACTGGCTGTAGCTGTGGGTCTGCTGACGGGTCTGTTGCCTGAGTGTGAGGCGGTGACGACACCCCGGGCACCTACCGCGACAACACCAGCTCCGTGTGTAGATCCCTGGTGCACCTTTCGCCTCCCCTCCGCCATCTATCCAGAACACTACAAGTTGCTGCTCTACCCGAATCTAGACACCGCTAACTTCACCGGCACAGTGGACATCGACATCGTGGTGAAGGAAACCATCAAGTATCCACGGCTCCACATCAAGGAAATGATTATCCTTTCGTCTGAGATCAGACCGGCCGTAGATTCAGGCTCCACGCCGGCACCACCTCTGGCGGTTACTCGGTCCTTTGAGTATGTCCCGAATAAGTTTTACGTGATGGAAATGGCGCAAGATCTGCAGCCAGGCAACTATGTTTGGAGCCTGACGTTTCAGGGATATCTGCAACCAAACCGTGTTGGCTTCTACCTAAGCACGTACACAAATGACAAAGGCGAAAAAAGGTAAGGATGTAGCGGGCTAACATTTTCTTCTTCTTTTTTTTCTTAACAAAAAAACATGTGTTGCCTCTACACCGGCTCTGGCGGTGGCTCGGTCCTTTGAGTATATCCCGAATCAGTTTGATGGAAATGGAGCAAGATCTGCGGCCAGGCAACTATGTTTGGAGTTTGGAGTTTCAAGGGTATCTGCTGTCAAACCGTGATGGGTTCTCCTTCACCACTTACACTGATGAGAATGGTCTGAAGAGGTATAAATGGCGGCTATAGCTCGAGGTGTAGGGCTGGTCGGGAGATTCCTCTGAAAACTTCGAGTTTTGAGAGGATTTCTACAGTAAGTTGTGTTCCCGCTCATGTATCTATTTGATGATGCGCAGTTCAGTTACAAGAATGGAGTAGCTGGGGGCATGGGGACATGGGCCTTCAACTTGAAACTTGTTATCTCTTCTGAACCACCTTTCCCGCTAAGAAATTTGGGCCGGGGAAGGCAAAAATTCGCCTTGTATAGTAAAAAACAACAACATTGAGGCACTGTGCTCCCCCACAATAACAATTAGATCCCTAAGTTGCCCTTCAAATTCAACCGCAGCTGTACGCCTCGATGTTTTCAAAATAGCAAAAAATATAAGTCAGTTCAGCACATTAAAATGTTGACTTGTAGACTTTCCACAACAATTCTTCTGTTAACGTTTTCCCTAATGGTGCCAGTGGTACATAGTTTTCTTTTTAAAAAAAACTTGAAGACAATTAAACCTTCATCCTAACAAAATGTGCGCCATCGAGAAAATATACATTGTACAATCCATGTACCTCATAAATGAAAATTCCGGAGAGGGTGCATAATTATATTGGCAGATTGCAAAGATGATGGAGATTGTTTTTCCTTAATCTTTTCAAACCAGTGACGGATCTGCGGTATGGAGTTTACCCCCCCCCCCCTTCTTAGGCCGCAAAAAAAGAAATTATGCAGACAACACAGCAAATGAATGCCTGCTACCCTCCCCCCCTTTTTTCTTGGCAGCTAACCCCTCCCCCTTGAGCGTGACCTGCATCCGCCCCTGCATTCGCGTGGTTTTATGTTAGACGTGTGCCGGTATGTGCTTAGGCCTACGGGGTGCCGTGAAATAATTCAACTGAATTTTATGTTTGTGCCACCTGTGGAAAGATTACGCATTTTGCCCGTAATTTACGTGGCCCAAAGTTCTGTATGCATTCGCTCGTACCGTACCCCCGCCCTGCAAACAGGACGCTGGGAACTGCTGCTGAATAATTAAACTCTGATTGGGTAGATTTTGCGTGACCTGTGACCTGTAAGTCATCACGGCCACAGGTTCATTAATTTTGAACTTGTTCCCTTGAGGTTTGACTGTACACTGTACCAGTGGCGTCGCCAAGGGGGGGCCAGGGGGGGCACGTGCCCCCCCTGGAAAACCTAGTGCCCCCCCGAGTGCCCCCCCATCTGAGATTTGGGTTGGTAAAAAATATATATATATATTTTGT